CCCTTCAATATTCGTTTTCACCAGATGTCGGTAACAACCCAAGTAATCCATACATACAAAGAAAACAAAAACAAGTTCAGAAATTGAGTTATGTGTAATAAAATGGAAAGACACAGGGAAAAAGTATTGAACACATGAAGAAAGGGAGGTGCAAAAAAGCATGGAAAGCCAAGACACCAGCTGAAATCTATCAGTAATTAGAAAGCAATCCTGCCACTTGTCAATGGAAATAATATTAGCTGGTTCAGTCCCAACACCTACAGTACCAGGATGATGAAGATGAAACAAGGGTGGACATTTCAGAAAAAGTCTTAGATCTTTGAGTTCAGCTCATGAAAAATGGGGGCAAAAACAAAAGTGTTGCGTTTATAATTTTGTTCAGTGTGTGTATATATATATATATATATATATATATACACACACACACACACATACACATAGATGCCTCATTAGTAGCTGTTTATATGGGCCGCTATACGTAAGCCGTCCGCCATATTGGAACCGTAGTTATACGCATGTATGAATATCTATTTCTGCAATAGACTTTTACAGATGTTTCTGCTAAACTAAATACAAGAAACTGAAGCTGTTATGTAACACAATATTAGTTAAGTTAGTTTATAGTTTATAAAAACCTGTAATATTGAGGTAATATAATATAAAAACACAAACCAACACACTCTGACCTGTGAAAAGCTATCTCGTTTCTTTGGGAATCTGCAGTTTTTAAAACCAGGGGTTGTGCAATGTTGCGGCATCTTAAAAAACTCATTGAGTTTTACTGTGACTGGTGATACGTTGACCGTTCCAAGATGGCGAACGGGTTGACATGTCTGGAGCAGTTGAATTTAGCTTTTATGTATACATATCTATAGGTTTTGGTTTGAATGCATCACATATGGGGTGCGTTTTGCTTTAGGGAAACACCCCTGGTTGGGTGGCCACAAATACCATAGACATATCTATGGCATATACAGTCTATCCACAAAAATTCAAATATTTCAATGCATCCCAAACTCATCGGATCAAAAAAAAGAAAACAGCACTCTATGTTCTCTTCTTTGTATTTCCTGTCTACATGTTCATCCATCAACCACCGGAGAGCTGAGTAATCAACTGCAGGTGATATTATTCGCCCACACACTCAGCAGAGCACTACCCAACCCCTGACAGACCTTAAACAACCTCAGGCAGCGAGCTGTGTGAGATAAACGAGGGCCCAGACACTGAATGACACCAGCCCTTCACAGACACACACTTGCGCTGCCTCCTCCGCAACTTGAGGAGCGAGAGAGAGCCAGTTGCTAGGAGACGCGGCCTCCAGTGCAAACACAGAGCCATCTGTCTGTGTAAAGAGGAGACGTAGGGCAACTGAAAGGCTGGCACACTCCCTGGAACAACAGAGGAGTGGAGAGCAGCCACCATCTTGTATTTTAAGCTTGTCCATATTGAAATAATAGTCTGTTTGTTAGGGTGAGCCCACATCTGGATTTTTACCTCATTTGCAGGGTTGAAGGTGGGACTGAAGTGTATCTGCAAATCAAGCTGAGTCTGAATTTAAAGTGTTAAACTTTAGTTTAAAGACAAAACATAGAAGTCGTTCAAGTAATATTTCACACAAAATGTCATTAAATGTCATTAAGAGTCTTTCTTCTGTGGAACATAAAAGGAGAAGTTTAGCAGAATGTCCAAGCTGCTCTTTTCCATACAAGAAAAATGAATGAAACCTGGCACGTCAAGCTCCATAAATGACAATAAATAGATTAATTACATAAAATAAATACATAAATAAAACATTTAAGTGGACTTAAATGTAAATGTATACCATTTATGAACTTCTTCATCCCAAAAGGAAATTCTGTCATCATTTACTCACCCTCATGTTGTTCCAAACCTGTACGACTTCTGTGGAACATAAAAGAAAATATTTTGAGAAATGTCAGTGTTTTTTTATTATTCGAAAGCTACTGTGAATAGAAAACAAACAAACAAACAAACAAATAACTTTAAAATTTTGGTGTACTGGTGTACATTTTAGCCCTGCTCCACTTTCATCGTATGGAAAAGAGCAACTTGGGCAGGCAACATATCTCCTTATTCCTCAAAAGAAAAGTATCACATTTAAAGTTTAAAGTAAATTAAAGAATTTTAATTTAAAAGCGCGTATCATGAATAATTTGATTTAGATCGGAACTTCGGAGCGGGTTCGCGCATCTTCATTGGAACTTCAAAACAAGTATTATAAATCATTTGATTTAGATCGGAACTTCAGATCGGAACTTCAAAGCGCGTATTGCGATTCATTCGATTCAGATTGGATCTTCGGAGAGGGTTCGCGAATCTTTCGATTCGGATCGGAACTTCAAAAATTAAAAACAGCATGTAGCTATGAAGAGCCTACAAAAATAAAAACATCAGGCAAATTAATATTTCAGTTTTATTGACATTTTATATCAATGTTGATGGGAGTTCCAATAACATTATCCTCTCCTCATCCATTTATAAAATACACTACAGTTGAAACTTCTTACTGGAATACAAAAGTATTAAAGTTTGGTGTCCAGACATAAACCGTGACAATGCTCAGATAACAAATGCAACAATTTAATCCCTGACACAGATGAAAATCAGTTATGGTGAATAAATATGTTTATGCACATATATATTACCACATGTCATTTAAATTATGTGTCAGTAAAACATGTCAAGAAGCTTGTTTTTCCACTATACACAATCCCACATGCTACCATTCTCTGCACCCAAGCAAAAAAAAAAAAAAGAAGCCATTTTTGTTAAGTCAACTAATTTGCAGTTGGGTCTTTGGTGATTATAGGAGACAATGAAGTGTCTTTTAGTTGTCTTGGGTACAGAGGAGCTATGATGAATTATGTTTTTAATTTAAAGAACCTAACAGATAGGCAGTGTACAGTCTCATCTTATGTCCTTATTCCCCAAAGAGTCCACTAACAAGCAAGAGCAGTCAGTACAAATGAACACCGTGAGACTGGGAACAGCACAAACTGTTGGAACATGGGATACAGACACAAAGATGTCCAGATACAACACCTGTAAACTGCTATACACAAAGGTTTACATTCACTTAATTATGCCCATTTTTCATCCAGAATTGTAAGATGGTAATTTTATGCTGAAAGCATGACGGTAAACTTCACTTTACATTTCTTAGATGGTTTAAAGAAATTATTCTCATTGTGAATTCTCATTCCTTTAAAGGAATACTCCACTCAAAAATGAAAGTTTGCTGAATTTACTCAACCTCAGACCTTCCGAGATGTTTTTGAATTTGTTTCTTCATCTGAACAGATTTTGGAGAAATTTGGCATTACAACACTTGCTCACCAATGGATCTTCTGCAGTGAATGGGTGCCGTCAGAATGAGAGTCCAAACAGCTGATAAAAACATCACAATAATCCAAAAGTAATCCATTCGACTCCAGTCCATCAGTTAATGTCTTGTGAAGTGAAAAGCTGTGTGTTTGTAAGAAATTCATCGAGGCATTTTAACTTTAAAGGGGTCATATGATGCGATAAAAATGTTTCCTTTATCTTTGAAGTGTTACAAGCTCTTGGTGCATAAAGAAGATCTGTAAAGTTGCAAAGACTAAAGTCTCAAATCCAAAGAGATATTCTTTATAAAAGTTAAGAGTCAGCCACACCTACCTAAAACGGTTCGTTCTAACACGCCCCCACATGTCTACGTCACGATGTGGGAAGATTTGCATAACGCCGCCCAAATGTTCAAGCAAAGAAAGAAGGCGTAACTTTTATCCTCGCTGTAGTATTGTTG